TGTTGTCTCGTTCAGCGATGGTACATTTGTTAAAATTGATCATGTAACTGAGTTGTTTCTTGAAAGTTCAAAAGATTTTTATACAAACTCAAACAGGAAAATTCTTTTCATATTGGTGCAATTCTAGAATTCAAAATAGAATAAGTATACAGTTTTTCTTCTTAATTCTTGGTTATCATTGGTATGGATAGTAAATACATAACAAAATTCTGATTACTCAAGTGAAAAGCAATCTTAATTTTTTTCAATAGTAATGTGTTTTATTAATTTTTGTTAGAGTTTAGATCAACATTGTGATTTCACAAACTAAACTTGTGGTTCGTTAATAACGATCGTTTGGTTATATTTCATTTTGTATTCATGGAATAATTTATCGTATGCATTTTATTAGACATTATCTCTTGTGTACTATGCATTCTAATATCAGAAATTCTTCACATTTGAATTATTGATGTAGACATTATTGATATATTTTTGTATACTCGAAGGATTTAACTCATTGTTTATGCAAAGTGGATGAAGATATCTAACGTATTAAAGGTCATATATATATATATGTTTTTTTTTGCCTTTCAATCTTTGCGGAAGTACAGATTAGGAAAACAACCAAAGCTACAATATTTTACAATTTGATTAATTTTTCTATCATAAATGAAGCGGGTTAATTTGTTGTACTTAATGTTTGAAATAATATCTTCGATATATATGCCATAGGTCTCGAATGAGAAGTAAAACAATAATGACGACCAACACAATCATTTATCAGGGAAATACTGTAGAATTGTATGTAAATAGCATATTGCTTTTGATTTCCCTTTCAAACAACATTCTTCTATCTATCATTTGAACGCAAGGAGCATATAATTGATATCAGGATAGTCTCACAAAGAAAACTACTTTTGAACGACACAAATTCGAATTGATTAATACGCTCAAACAGTTTTATGCACTTTGTATTGGACATGATTTTAACCAACATATGCCAACAATATATTTAGAAACATTAATCTTTTGAATATCGATCAGTATTCTCTTCTGTACTTGGGTGATAACTCGCTCGATACAATTGGTTCATCTTTTTTTTCATATAATGATTAAAGATATATTGAAATATAGAATTGTTGACGAAAGGAAATGATGCATAAAAGACCGTTTTTTTTTTGGTGAATTTCATTTAATAGAAAATATAGCAACAACAAATTTTATTACTCGTTTTTCGTTCTTTTCCAATCAATCTATTTTTGTATTGGGCTTTCTCACCTTTCGTAATACCATATGTCAAGCAATAAAATATCGTCTTTGGATAACAAAAGTACCAAAAAAGCAAGACAGACACCAAGTTCAGCATTTTTCGATGTACTTTAATTCAGCAAAAGATCATGTTACATAGATATCAGTAGCAATAAATCATCTTTCTAAGCATTGTCTTGAAAACATATCACTGCCAGTTATCAGATACGATATAATAAACTAACATTAAAGATGCCTCATTGTGATTGAAATGGTACTATTTCGTCTACCTTTACAAAGTCTGTATATGTTACATATACTTCATGGAGACACACGCTACGTTACATTCAAACATCCATGGGGATATGTTCTAACATATACTAAATGTTTGATTATATAATGAATAAACATTAGTGATACATCGGTTCTATCCTTCCATCATTTATTAGATAAGTGCAATTTTTGAAAAGAACCTCAATAGCACACAAATCATGTTTTTATCTATATATTATTTTACGACTTGTGAGTTAGTTCGAATGTGTAACAAGGATACCAAAAAAAAGAAGAGCTAGATAAAGAGTAACATGCATTTCGATGTATGATAGTGCCATTGAAATACATATTATTGCGGTTACATCCAACTAATTATAATCATAAAGCAAATTTTCCCTAAAAACCAAGCGTCAGAAAAAAATAAGTTTGTTAGAAATATCAAATTTGTATATTCCTTAGCTCACTCTGTTCAATATGTTGTAAGATGTGTATTCTTATTAGCAAATCCTGAGAGTGTATGAAGTACACAAATATGAAAAAATTAATCAGAGAATATTTTTTCGTTACTTTTCCATTCTGAAAATGAATTCTTTAAATGTATTTCTGCATTTTATGAACTGCTGATATGAAATCCTTCAAATTTGAATTAGATTCATTGCATACAAAAAATAAAAATAAAACACAATGGCAAAATGATTCTATTGATTAACAAATAGATAATCAGAATAACTGATAAATGTGCTAACTTATCAAATATTAATACTAATCAACTTATTTTTTCTCTATTCAACTGAGTTTTTCCAAGAGAAATTAACTAAAATTTGATTAAACTATTGCAAAAATTCATTTATATACAAATTCAAAAAGAAATTATATAAGATTCAAATGATTGATAAGATGAACGATATATGGAAGTGACTGAAAGACTGATATGGAATTATTTTTTCTTGGTTGTTACATTCTAATACAACAGCATGATCTGGTGTATACGATTAACTACTATGTCATAAAAAACGATTATGAATTTGTTTAATAGAAGCTTTTAGTTATTGTATGCCTAGGTAAGAGAATGTCTAATAGGTTTACTTTTCATTAATGTAAAATGCAGAAAGTTTGATTCATGTATTAGATGGAATTTTGATCAACTTAAGAAAGATTTGAATGTCTGACGAAGATGTAAAATCATGAATAATTGGATTTAATATTAATGTAGAAACATCTTTTTCGAACATGATCAAGTTTATTATCTTAGCAGACGTTTTCAAATCGATAATTCTTTTCTTGAATGGAGATGAATACAAAGGACGTTTTCTTTTTAATTAAATTTAAATCAAGATAAAAAGATATGGTAATCTAATTACTTATGCTATTTAAACGACAGCCTATTTTGCTATTTTCATATCGATAATGGTTACTTTTCCCTTAAAAACATGTATTAAATATGACAAGAACGTGGTTAAGTAATTATGTAGAATGGAGAAACAGTATTTGGTGACAACCAGAGTGGAGAAAGTATGACAGTGACAAATATTTGACAGTTATAGGTCATTATTGATCATTAGTTCGCTGGGTTTGACTTCTATTCATGAAAAAATCGTTTCATTCTGTAATACGCTAATCTCTATCAACTCTTCAAGTTTTTCAATTGATGGATCATCGACTAAGAGAAAATTTAACCCTCCGACAGTGAAAGGATATGAAAAAACGAAAATTATTTCTTTTATCTTCCAAGCATTGTCTTTTTTTTTTTTAATCAAAATAAAAGTTACATACATTTGGCTTAGTTGGGGTCGACTATTTTTCGTCGTGATTATACTTCGAATGAGTGATGTCACCAGTTAGAGATTAGAGGGAGTTCAGCCCTCTCCTTCACAGTGTGAATCCAGATTGACATTAGATAAGAGAACAAAAGTGAACATTTAAATTATCGAAATAATAATGAATATACTTTAACACATGTCAGAACCAGTTCAAAAAAGTCCGTTGAATGATTTATATAAAACACATGTCTTGGGAACATGTCGGCAAGGCCCCTTACAGATGTTTTTTGTTGAGAACGTTTTTCTCCAAAAAATGGTTTTCTAAGGTATACACAATCACTTCTGTAAGAAAGAAATTCATTTCCGGACAAGAAATTTACATATTCACCTGTCATGCGAAAAATGCACATTGCTGCTGACCTCTCTTCTCCTACAAGTGGTTGACTTCTGATGAAAAAAAGACACTTGAGTTGCATCTAAAAATGCTACCAAAAGATCCTCAGTCTTTCTGCAGACATGATCAGAGAATGCATCCGCTCACTGTGCAACTTTTTTTCTGGTTATGTCACTGTCCTATTGTTTTAAGTAAACAATAAAATATGAAAAATATCAATGACAAACATATTTCATCACAACAGAGTTCTCAATAAAAAAACAGTTATATTTTTTTGTTGATGAAATTTTCAATGATAATTTTATCAGTAAATTTTAGCATTGTCGACTGATTACAAAATATTTCAATAAAATCAATAATGATACTTAAATTTATCAATTTCTCTTTTAAGATTAGTTGAATCTGCTCCTGTTAAACGATAAATTTCTTTTCCTTGTTTAAATAAAACAAAAGTTGGTAAAACATTTATTGAAAAATTATTTGATAAATCACTATTATTATCAATATTAATTTTCATAAAAATAACACATGTTTTGTAATCATTCAATGCCCATTTATATAAAATAGGTGCAATTTGTAAACATGGTGGACACCAATTAGCATAAAAATCACAAACAATTAATACATTAACATTTATTGTATCATTTATTACATCATCAAATTCTTGTTGTGTAGTTATTTCATGAATTTTATTCATATATGGATTTAATCGTAGAGATGAATCTTGATTAGACTGAGATGTAAATAGTATTTGTGATGAAATAATTGATGTTTTTAATGGTAGTACAGATTTATTAGTTGAAACGCATGAGCCCATGATTAAACTAAAGAGGCAACAGTTTCATTGCTTTACGCGCTTAAACAAATGTTCTTCTTTGTTAAAATAAAAAACTCATTACTATAGGATACAATGAAATGATACTAATTAAAATGATAGTCAATTTACTCTCTGTAAAAATCATTAAATAAATTCTAATTTAATTTATCAAGCAGAAAAAAGCGAAACTTTTATTTAATTTATTTTATTTTATTGAGATCAATTGAAAAATTGCAGAATAATATTAAACACAAATATTTATGTAAAGCATGCATGTGATCTGAAAATGAGAACAAAACATTGACATACCTTGTAAAAGTAACTTTTTTTTATTCTCATTCTTTTTTTTTATTGACTTAAGATATATGGTGTTCTTTTTAGGAGGTTACAAATTGAATAGTAGAAAAAAAATTCGTTGCTTAGTAGACGAATTAAATAAACAGAGAACAATCGGGTGAGATTTGAGAAGAAAAATAGTAAGATCATAGGTTTTTGTTGTTATATTTTTGATATATTTTCCATTAAAATGGATGATACAATAGCACATGAACAATCAGTTGTTGATAATATTAATAAAAATGATGAAGCACAATATGTCGATTGTATACGATTAGTTGAAGGTGGTCATATTCGACGTTTTGAAAATATAGTATCAAAGTTTGATATTGTTCAATATGAATTAAATGATGAAAATGATGGACCAAGTAAACCATTGATTTTTTATGTGATTGAACATAATGATGAAACATTTCTTAAAGTTTTACTTGAAATGGAAATACCATTGAATAAATCATACTCAGTAAGTAGAATATATTAGTTAGTTTTAGAATTAATTAAACGAAAGCATGAAAAGATATTCATAGAAATACTTAAAATCATGACGTCTCTATGTTGATTTCTTTTTTTCGATATTTCATTAAATAAGCATGACAACAGAATAGTTCTATCTATGCTGTATATGAGAATATCAGTTTAAAATAAAATAAGCAAATTGAAAATAATAGTTAACGATATGATCATATTGTATTTGTTTATGATGAAAAAATAGTTTACTTAAGAGTATTCCGCTCCTATCTCTTTTTTGACTAATAACTTGATTTGGAGCTGGGCATAAAATATCATAGTCTTAAGTGCAATGTACTATTCCAGGTATAATTCGAGTCTAAACAGCTTACTGTTACAGAGTTACTAAATTTAAGATATTCTTTTCTTTTACTTAGCGTAACACAAAACACTAGTTTTTTCTAATCTTGACTGTTTACAATTTCCCTCTAACTTTGTCCGATCGAACTAAAATTTTTATCACAAGTACGTAGAAGTATTCTCTAGAAGTAGAGTCCGCTGTTTTCTTTTTTGACTTTGCTATTCGAATATATAGGGTTCTGAAAGTCAACACTCCAGTTTTGTCTTCGAATACGTGTCTCCTTATTTCAGGTGTTCTATCTGTGATAAATGCTTCAATTTGATCGATTGTAACTTCTTCAAGAGTTAGAAATAGTCAAAAAAAAGGGGCAGGGTATATCCTTAATCTAAAAGAAGAAAAAGCATGAAACAACTAGCATTATTATTTATATCAACTGAGAGAAACTTTTTATTACTTCAGTTTGTTTGAGTGTATGAAACTATGACAATCCATTAATCTATTAACGGCACTTATTAGTAGTTACTAATAACAATTTTCCATCTATACTTAAGAGAACAGAATTGATGAATTATATTCCATAACTGCTGTATGAAATATTGTTGTTTTGTGGAAAAGTGACACCTCAGTAAATGGAATCCATTTTATATTACAGAAAACTAATAGAAATAATTGTTTCTGAATATTTTCTTGAATCATAATACTAGTAAATCTCTCCGAGTGTATTATATAAGTTTTAGATTAGCATAATCATAAACTATTCACAAATAGTTTGACTTTCAAAAGAAAAAAAGAAAACATCGTTAGACCGATGAACATTTCAAAGATAATTATATCCAACGTCAAATTCAATAACTTAATTCACAAAAAAACAAATAATTAGATTTTTCCCATTTAAAATTAATATGTGTCTTCGAAGTGTATCGGATATAAAATAGAAACCATATAATTAGAAATTTGATCCGTTTCCTTTGAAAATTCATTTCACGACGAACAGAAATCTAATATTAGTATAAGTGTCGTCAAAAGAAAAGTCTAATATTTCTTCTGAAAACAATATATACGTATTTTTTAAATGTCATAAAACTAAATCTAATATTTATTTGTTCTTTTGGATCATGGTACCAGTATCTTCGGCATCAACTACTCAATTAATTAAAAAAACTTTCAATGCTTATGAATATGCACGTGAATTAAAACATAATAGTTTAGCTGATCTTATCCGTCATCGATCAAAACTTCCATCATTGACACAACGATTTTTTCGTGTATTACAATTAAATGATGTTCGTCGTTGTGATAAATTTATACGGCGTCTACGTAATGAAACAAGACAACGTAATTTAGCTAAAGATGGTCTATTTTATGCTGCCCAACTTGGTTCAGTACGTTTATTAGATTACTTTTTAACACATTGGAAAATCGATATTAACATACAACAACCAAATAATGAAAACTACATAACAACACCTTTATTAACGGCTATAACATATAATCAAAATGAAGCAGCAAAATTTTTATTATTTCGTCATGCTGATCCATGTGTAAAAGGTCAATTTGATAATGCACTAGTGACGGCATTACACTATCAATCAAATAATGATTTAATACGTTTATTACTTGACAAAAATGTTGATTTAGCAGCTAAACATCCTGATTATAAAAAATTAACTTTAAGAGAATATTGTGTATTAACAAATCGTATAAAAGCTAAAACTGAACTTGATTCATATATTGTACGTTTAATTAATAATGGAAATTATAAAAGATTAAAATGTCTTGTTGATCATGGTTATAAACATATTAATGTTAATGTTAGTTATAAACGAAATGGAAGACAATTAGCTAAAGAAAGATATTATGAAAAAATTGTTAAATTAATTGATGATGTGGAAAATGCACAGATGAAAGCAAGAAAAAAAATGAATTACTAAATGAATATTTGTTTTTTTTTTTATGTCTCGAACGAGAAATTATAATGAAATATTTGTAAATGAATAAAACGAAGTGAGATTAGAAAGATAGACATTTCTTTTTATTTCATTAGAAATATTTTTCTATATTCTATTAATCTAATTTCTAACGAAATACGTCTTATGGTACAAATTTTATTAAGCAAAAAGGAAACAACATGAGGTTATTAATGATGAAGATGGTTTTTTTTCAACAAAAAAAATTCCATTAAAGAATGTACTTAGTGAAATAGGGCAACTTATTACTTATCTTTTAAATGAAACATATAGAGCTAAAAATTTATATATACTAAAAGAGAAACAGACAGAAAAATAAAAAAATATAAGACGATCTTATTTGTTTTCAATAAAAGATAATTTTCAAAGATGGAATCAAATAAACATTTATTTGGTTTTTTGAAATACATTATATTAATAATAATAGAATAAAGCATAAATCCTTTCAAAGACTTATTTTTTCTTATAAGAATAGAAAAAACAAAATAATATTTACTGTTTTTCGTATATACATGTATATAAATACATGTCAAGAAAAACAAACATATATCAACCATTTATCATCATCATCGTTATATTTTTTTTGTCTCTTTCGATAACACTATATTATTCTCATCTGTATCTTATTTTCTTCTAAATGATATTATTTTGTTATCAATATATCTATTTATAAACTCATAAATTTTTCCTTCTTTACTTAGATTAAATAATAGATGACATTCGAGTTTTTTTTACAGTAAACATATGAATAAAAGAAAATGTCAATGATTATTATCACAAATCGATCTATATGTTTATACGGACAGCTGATCATTTAAAGGTTAATGATCAATGAAATCAAAGGTTAGATGAGCACAAGTGTCGATCAATTTTTCAACAGCTGTTTATGCCTGTTTTCTAATTATTGAATATCTTCGAATTTGAACAAGTATGTTTCTTATATACAAAAGAAAGAACGAACAACAGCGAAACAAACAAATAAAAAAAAGAAAAGAAAAGAAAAGCAAAAACACACACACAAACACACAACGGACTACTGCTTTTTTTCACTGCTACTACTGTCGCCTCGCACAAGATGTTTTAAATAACCAAACGGACCTCCTCCTCCTCCTCCTCCTCCCCCTGCTCCTCCTCCGGCTCCTGTTTGTTCAGTTGATGATAAATCTGTTTGATTATGATTTGTTTCCGGTGTTCGTTTAAGTAATGCTATTGGATTTGTATTACGTAATGTAAATGATGATTTCTTTTTTACACGTGTTGCTGATGTAGCTGAAAAAGAATTTGATTGTGTTGGTTGTTGTTGTTGTTGCTGATGATGATTATTAATTACAGATGATGTTGTTGTAGCTGATGCTGAATTAGTTCGAGTTCGTTTTGTTGTATCTGAACTCAAAGATAATTTACGTGGCGTTGGAGACGTATCAATTTTTCCGTATTTTGTTATTGAATCTTCTCTCGAAGATTTTTTATGCGATACCCATGATCGAAATGAACTAACAGGATGTTTTATTGAAAAACCACCACTTGCTGTTGAATGATGCGAATTATTGGTGGAATGTTTTTGATGAGATACATGTTTATCATGGTTTTTATCAGAATTTATTTGAGTATGTTCAAGATCAGTATGTTGATCACCGGTTGAAGATGCAATAGATTTTTGTTTTGATTGAGATAAATCTGTTTTTGATTTTGTAAAAGAAGACTCAGATGATGTTTTGTTTGGAATACTAAATATATTTAAAAAAATTTTCTTAAAATTTAACTTCATCATTCGATTAAAGACAGAAAAAACTGTGGATAAGTATTGTTAAGTGTTGTTTTCAATAGAAAAGATATTCAAGATTATAAACTTGCTTTTCTAAGCATCTCTATAAGTACAGATAGTTAAGAAGTGAAAACTCTGTTTTAGGCAAAATATACTTTTTTTGTCTGCAATACTTGGGAAAACTATTCGAATATAGATGGCCAAGTCTTTTGATAAGGATACTTTTGTTTTTGACTGCCTTGTTCTGTTATCGTACGATTAAATATCCGCTAACAAAAGAAAACTGATGAACGATACTCGGATTTTTTAATTTCAGAAAGGAAAAATAATTTCAAGAGAAAAATTATTTTAGTAAAAAGTAGTTCATGTTTCTATGATCAAAAAAGAAAACGAAAAAATCTTCATTACTTATCAATTCCATTGAGAATTTTTTCATCTTCTTTTTGTATAACAAGAATAGGTGTATGATGTGCCGAGTCTCTTTCATTTGTTATTGATTCTGTTTGTTCATTATCACTATCAACATTATGTATAATTGAATCATCATTTATTGTTTGATTTTTATTTGTTAAACGTTGTCTTCTTTCAGCATCGGACCATGGTGGCATACGTTCATTAATTTGATCAAATGTTTTAGCTGTTGAAAATGAAAAATCAGTTGGTACTTTTCGATGTTCTGTTGTATCTCCTTCTTCATCAATAAGTTCAGTAAGATTTGTTGTTGATGATGCTGGTGATACAGGTGCAAGACCTTTTAAATTTAAAACATTTTCACTAGCTTCACGTAATGATGCATAAACTTTAGCCATTTTTCCAACAGCACGTATTTTTGAACGTATAGCATCACGACGAAATTGATTTTCATTATCATTTTGTTGATCATTTGATAAATCCGTAATAAGTTCTTCTTCACTACATATATTTAATATATTAATTAACAT